TCTTTTACGATGAAATTGCATCAAAATTTGGCATGTTAACTGAATACTCTTCATTTCCTCAATGAGACAGTTAAATGAAGTTCGTAATGATGGTAATTATAAAATAAAAAGAAATTGGCACAAATACGTACCCGTTTTTCCCAGAAAAGAGATGCACGTATCTGTAATAATTTTTAATCTTCGTTTCTCGCCGACAAAAATAATAAAAAAAGTCTACGCACAAAAATAGCACATGTCGCTTCTACCCAGCGCTTCTGAAATTTTTAGATAAGATCAATACTTAGCTTTAGCCCTACATAGAATACCGAAAAGGTTTTGGTGCCTGTAGCCGTTGAATCACTTTGAGTGCGCTATGAATATTTCTAGTGCGGTTGCAAGCTAATTGCTCAGAATAAGTTTCTAGCCTTACAGCCTTATCCATCTTTGAGATAAGGTGGGCTAAATTTCAGCAATTGATTATTCGATGGGTCTGTCGACTGTGGAAGCACATCGTGTGGCGAGGATAACTGAATTCACATGGTCGGATTTGCTCAGTGAAATCTATCACACTCCACGACTGATAGGCTCATTATCAGTGCTATTTCCGAGGCGCGAGGCACGTTCTTACTACAAGCCTGTCAGGTGTTTTTAAATGCTATTTAGCCAGCCATCGCTTTGTAAAACTACTTGAGGTACTTCTACTGCCACTTTGTTAACCGATGTAATGTTCTCCACATAAAATATTTCTCCTGTAAGTCATCCAGATGCATGCTTTTGTCCTATTTAGTACTCTTGCTGCGAAAAATTTAGATGATTTATTGTAGTCTAGTTCGGTGCCACTTTTGCGCTTGTTGGAGAGAAATTGTCAAAAATATCAAGTTCATCAGGGCAAACAATATGGGTATTCTATGTTAGTGATGTTACTGGGATGCTTCGATAAGTCGCACACAACTACGTCAAGCCCTTCGATTCTGAGTTACATAGCTCCACTAGCACATCGTGCAAAGTAAATATTAGAGATTTCTTAGCTGCATACACATATTTAGCGATAGTTGTTGTTTGAAGTTTGACGGTTAATCATTTTTTGCGTGTTTTTTAGTTTTCAGGCAGTTGATGCGAATTTTTACTTTTTTTTTTAAGAGTTCGATGATATCCAGAATGGTGCGCAACCTGGAATGGCTGAGCTCATCGACGCCTTTGCAATTTAACAATCCGAATCTATACCACTTATTATATTTTGGATTTGGGAATGCTCGGAGCTTAGCAGAGTTATTTCAAACAGTTGGTTGAAACTGTATTCCCGCCTCTTTTAAAATAATCCTTCTTTAACATCGACAGGCTTGCTGTTAATCGAATACTGAATAGTTGCGAGTTAAAAGAATACGTTTGAATGCGGCGAACTCAAAACTGAGCAGAATGGGAAGAACGCTGTTAGATCAGTAAAAAGCAGTCACAAAACAAGTGATAAACTGGCGTGTCAACAGCAGACACGCAACCACACTAGTAGTGCAGCTATGCGACTTCGTCACGTCCTACTCTCCCTAAATTATATCAGAAATATCAAGAACGCCCGGATAATCGTAAGATAGCGAAGCTGTAGTGATAATATTACTAGCAAGCTCTTAGACATCGGATCCAGCTATGTTAATTCTTTCGAATATGAGCTGCAGAATGCCCACTGTTATTTGTTTGATGCGCTTGCACTTGGACAACATAGGATGTGGAAGAAGGCGAACAGTAACATTTTCCACGTACACTTCAAGCTGTGAAGCAATG